CATTCTTACTTTACAGCATTTTTTCACACCTGCCTAAAACCTTTGCACAGTACTGTATATGAACTGGACAAGAACAGTCCAAAAACAACCCTTCTCATGTGAGAATGCTTGAGAATTTACAAGATTCCTCATGAGATTTTGGCCATTTTTAATTTTTATCTGGGAGTGCTCAAATGCCCTAATAAATCCCTGCCTTTAGATAAAAAAGCAAGAAGGCAACGTTCAGTCTTATTCCTCAGCAGCATACTCCTTTCCTGGTTTATATTTTCTCCAATTAGAATGGAATGGTGCAAAGTCCTTTGATACCCCTGAGTACATACTTTGAGGTTGGCTATGGCTACCCAGCTTTTAAGTATTCTTCACCAAGAGCAAATCCCTCTGGACTGACTGCCTCAAAAGATCACATGAATGTCACATGATGTCAGACTTCTGCTCTCTTCTGCTCCTTATTCAGTTTTTCTGTGTGGTGTATCTACACTGACTTTCCTGTTCACAAATCTATAAGGATTTTAGCTGATTATAAAACTGGGCTTGTCATAGTTTGTTTTTTGTCATGAGTGCAACTGTGGCTTTCAGGCAATATAAGCTAACCTCTATGGGTAATAATGTGGTCTTCCATCAACACATGAGTCCTTGAACTCCAATCCACAGCCTAAGAAGGGGTGCTCCAATAGTCCAGGTTGGTGAGATTTGGATCAGACCCAGCTTTCCTGGCTTTTTCTAATATCTTCTTGGTCATCTTATAGCGGATTCCACTTTCTCACTATTTTGGGGTTAAGCATTTCTCCTGGGAAGCCCTACATTCTTCTGATACAAATTGTGTATCAACTATTCCATCGTAAGCATCCTTATGACTGATAACAAAAAGATTTGTTATCAGGAAGTGAATGTATTTCCCCCAGTTTGGAAAAATAGTCCATAGTCATAAGTCATATATTCTTCTCCAGCTATGTAAAGAAAGGGTCAACTTGTTATCTTGTCGGAATTCAGGATCTTCTTCTGCTACGTGTTCCACAATGACTTGTACATCTTGTACTATGTTTTGCATTATTTCAGTTGTTTATTCATGCCAGGCCAGTATACACATTGTTGTGCTTTTTGAAGACAGCTTTCAATTCCATCTGTCCAGCTGCAGGCCTCAGGAGGTAGAAGTCCTGAATACAATCATTCAGAAAGATGAGTGTTACAAAGTGTCTGCAAGCATGCCAGGTTAATTTGTCAGACATATTCACTCTGGTTTGGACATGAGTTGGGCAGAGTCTGCAGTGATGAGCAAGACAAGGTTGTGTGCTATTATCTGGGATTCTTCTGAGCTTATAGAGCCCAAGGAGGTGGATAGGATGCTGTATCGTATGAATCCCACCACCAGTGGGCTGGATTCATTAATTGCTGGTGGATTACCTTTGCCAGGATCAAAAGTACCCCTCTTGCTAGTGTTGTCTTCCTTGGCATGGTATCTTCCTGGACCATCTGCAAGAGTTGGAAGTCAGTGTCACCATTTTACATGAGTTCCATTGGAGTGCTTGACTCCATAATTGATCCAATCAAACCCTATGTTATTTAACATCCATATGAAGCCACTTGAAAGAGGTCAATCATTAGTTTGGGTTGAAGTATTATCAGTCTGCTGACAATATCCAATTTGTATTGCCTTCCTAGGCAAAGCTGGAAATGCTGTGGAAAGCTTGACCCAGTGACTGGTTTTGCTCTTGGGGCAAAACAAGTTCAGATTAAATCCTACCAAGACTCATGTTAATTGTGGTAGTTACTCTAAACAGGATTGTTCTCCAGACAAAGGAATTGAATCAAGACTTGGCAGTCCTCTTGAATTCACAGTTCCTGCTTAAACATCAGGTGGTGGTCTCTTGGAAGGTCTTTGGTGAGCCATTTGTGACTTTACCTGGAACAGATGCCATGGCAATGATAACTAATGCACTGATCACCATATGGCTGGATTACTGCAACACAGCCTTACAAGATGTCCCAGAAACTGCAACTGGTTCAGAATGCAATGACTGCTGTCAGGGGAATCCTACCATTGCAGGATAACAGCAATTCTGAGGTTTCCGATGGCACTAGTTACCCATATGTTTCCAGGGCCAATTCAAAGTGCTACAAAATCTGTTTACAGCACAGCATTAGGTTACATTAGGCCTTGACAAAATTGATTCTGCCAGTTGAAGCAGCTTGAGAGGGCCTGCTGAGAGTCACCATGGGAAGTAAATGGGACTTGGTTAGGTGGCAGACTTTCCCTGCTCTTATGCTCTGGAACATCCTTTTCCCAGAGATACTCACAGTGCCCTCTTTCCTTGTTTTACTCATTAGTGTGCGTGCGTGTGTGTGTAATTTTTTAAAAAATTGTTCCTTTCAACTTTTCTGTCTTGGTACACCTCCCAGATACTCATGATTGGGATGGTCTACAAATATTGTAAATAAGTAAATTCATTAATTTATATTTTTTATATTCGCCTGATTGCTTGCTGTTTCCTGTTTGATCAGCCACTTTTCTTTTTTGGTGCTGCTCATTTTTCCTGGCTATGTCTATTTTTGAATGCATCCCCCTATATTCCCCACAAAACTGAATGAAAGTCTCAGTCAAAAGCATTGCTGGGCCCCTGATGTCGATGATGATGATGATGTACCAGCCATATGTTTAATTCTTCCAAATATACTGTATGTTCAGTCAAAAATATAATATTTGAATAATAGAGGGTGAATATCCTCTATATTGCTATATAGGCTATATTGGTATATCCTATATATTCCAAATATACATAATTTGAATGACAAAGCTGCAGTAGAACTTCCTTTTTTTTCCTTCAGAAGTTACAAAGAAAAGTTGGAAAAGTTCTGAGCAAAGGGGGTTGAACCAAATACACTGGTCCATCTCTTCAATGCCTGGTCATCTGACTGCAGGCTCAAAAAAGAGCACCTCACTGGCTTCTCTTACAGGAAGCTTCACAAGGCACCAGAAAGCAGGAAAGAACCAGATATGATTTATCTCCTCCCTTCTTACCTAGCCAAGACCAAGATTTAAATTTATCTAAGCCTATGTTGATTTTTCACATGCTTTGGATTATCAATAACAAAATGTTTTCAGAAATCAGACTGATGTCTGAACACTCTCTAGGCATAATGTTAGAATAAGATAGTTACATATCATAATCCTCCTCATTTCATGTTAGTCACAGGCGTTGTAGGGCCTCTACAGTCCTGGAAAAGGTGCTGATTCATAGCCTAAATGAAAGATGAGCAGCAGTGGTTGGAATACTGTACAGGAGAAAACCTCATGGGAAGGAGATCTAGTTTGCACTCCAAAACTGAAGCTGAAATACTTCTCTTATTCCTCCACCTCACTGCCCTGGAAGAGACTTCTCACTTGGGAGCGCTCTTAGCTCGTCCATCCAGTTCCACAAGGTGTTTTGTTTTGTTTTTTTAAGTTCATTTCAGGCTCAGCTTGATGCTCCCAGGTGGCAGTTTAACACTAACTTTTCAATCAGAGTGTGACTCAATCAGGCACAGAGTAACAACAACAACAACAGGGACCATTAACATGCAAAGTTGCATGCCAGCAGGAAAGAGAGGAAATGCAGGCAGAGGGAAATCAAGAATGCCCACTGAGAGGTGTGAGGAATGGTGGGGAGGGAAAAGATAGAGGATAATTACTGGATTTGAATGGGAATCCAATACTGGTATTTGACAAATACTACAAATGCCAATATTCCACACCATTGCCCAAAGAGAGGTGGCAGGCAATGTTCATTTAAAAAAAGAATTTGTTGTTTATATTTAAAAAACATATTTGTTACAGGTTATTATTGATTTTATGAACTTCCCAATTGGCACAATTTGTTGAAGATGGTGGGAGGAATGAAGGTGACATCTACACATTATTTGCAGGAAAGGATTGTTGATACATGTTTGTGACCACGTATTCAAAGCATTTTAAAGAGGAAGCAAGGCAAAAGAATTTCAAGCAATGTGGCCAATTTCTTTTCAGTTCTATTCATGAAATAATTTTCTGGACCTTTTTCTTTTTATTATTACCATTATTACCAATTTTGAAATTATAATATGTTGTTAATACTGTTATATATATCTACTGTATATGGGTCCCAATATCAGATTCAGAAAGTTGGTCTTGAAAAACACGATGACTGATGGTAGTAAAGGCAGCTGAGGGGTCCAAGGGGCGCTCCTCCAATATTTCTCTTTGGAAAGATCATCCCCCAAAATGACAAAGGCAGTTTCTCTTCCAAACTGAACCCAAAGTTAGATTGAATAAATTTAGCTTCATCCAAAAGTGTCTGAATGTTGACCGCAGCCATTTGCTTCAACACCCTATTGAAGAACAGAATATTAGCAATAGGCCCATAATTATTCACTACTCTTGGGGCCAAGGAAAACTTCTTCAGGAGAAGTCTTGATGACAGACTTTCAGAGAGGTTGATGCCACTATCTTTCTAATTAAGGAAGAATTAACAATCTCATGGATCCAACTAGCCATCTTCTCTTTACTAGGTCTAACAAACCAAAGCAGGAGTGAACATACAAGAAGTTTGTCAAACTTATTCAAGGGCTTTCTTTGCATCCCCAGTCTCAACAACTGGAAACCATCCAATACAAACGAATGGTCTGGATGTAACTGTGCTAATCATGTAATCAAAGCCATGCCAAATGGGCATGACATTACCTTCAAAGGTAATCATGCAAATTTATCACCATAGGCTGCTGGGGCTATAATCTGGTCTCTTTCAAGGCCCGAACCTTACTGAAACATTCCCATTGCTGCAAAAATGCAGTAGAGGAGAAAAAGAACTACTTCCTTATTGCCCTCAGCACTAAAGTATAGTTCAAAAATTAGGAGGTTGGACTGGATGAACTCCAAAGTCCTTTCCTTCATTCTCTAATTCTTAAGTTCCACCAGATGCAGTGTAAGATTTCCTTCATTTATATTCCAGCTGTTATCTCTTGCTTCATTGCTCTCAGCCCAAGGTATACCAAGGAGCTAATTTGGCTCTGACAAATAGGGGAAGATCCAGTGTCAATTGTCTGGGTCAATTCTGTGTTCCACAGGGTGACCAGAGCTTCACCACAAACACTAACCATATCAACTAGAAAATGCCCTAAAGCCTTCCAGAAACCATTGCAGTCAATTAGCCTCTGGGGGCGTACCATCCTAAGTGGTTTTCCATACTTGCAGAAGGAAAAAGCCATCAAAGGCCTACAACTGAACACCGTGAGAGGGATAGATACTAGGAGTTAATTCCCATGTTAGATGTGATTAAACATAGTAAAATTACATTTAAATAAAAATGCCAACCAAATACCCAACAAGTGCCCAAGCTGACTCTTGAGTGCCTAAAGATTCCAAAAATAAAAATAGAAAATACAGCATGATTGCTGTTTATTGTGAGGCTGAGAATATACTATCATACAAGTAGATATGGATGTAAATACAGTGCTCAACTAAAATAAAAGTAGTATAATTGACAAAAGAAAGGATCTTATTCCTTTTCAGCTTAGCTGATGGAATGGTTTGATGAAGGCCGTGCTCGGGGAGATTAGCATTTCCTTAGCCCCCAGCAGGAGTGTGGGAAGGTTAAGAAGATGAGACTGGCACCACCCTAAGGAATTCACGGTGTTTGGGCTTACTGGCTTGGGAAGTTT